GAAGAGAGTGAGGCCTAGAGAGGGTATAAGTATATTTTCCAAGTGAATGAAACATGATTTGAGCTAAGAGTGTACACTTTTACCCATTGCACTTCTAAGAGCCTTTCCAAATGCAACAGTGCACCTCAGTACCCTGTTGGTGAATATTTGGATTGTTTCCTATTTTCCCCTATGACAAGCAATGCTGAAGTCAACATCCTTGTACATGCTTCTTTTTGTCCACACGGAAACATTTCCGAGGGTTGGTTGTGATGGTGAACTTGCTGAGTCAAAGGCCATTACATTTTTAATAATAATACTGCTAAACCTCCCTCAAGAAGGCTTTTCTAATTTACCTTCCCACCACTTGGAGATTCCATTTGCTCTAAGATGTTCAGGATTTGGGGTCACCACATCTGGACTTGAATCCCACCTTTGCAGCATGACTTTGGGCAAGTTATGCTGTTGTGTGTATGAGTTTCTTTCTCTTCTCCTCTTCTTTCTCCCCTGTCTCTTTTTGTCATGCAGGGTCCTGTCGTACAAATAGTCTACAATTGAACTGTTCTGGTGTTGATGAGCATCAGGTTGTTTTCAGAAGAAGGTTGCCATGAGGGGTGCCTGGGTGGCTCAGTGATTGAGTGTCTGCCTTAGCTCAGGTCATGATCCTGGGGTCCTGGGATTGAGTCCTGCATTGGGCTCCCTACAGGGAGCCTGCTTCTCCCTCTGCCTATTTCTCTTCCTGTCTCTCTGTGTTTCTCATGAATAAATAAATAAAATCTTAAAAAAAAAAAAGAAGGTTGCCATGAACACTCATGTACATGCCTTTTGGTAGACATATTTATGTACTCCTCTTAGACATATAAACCTAGGATGTTGCTGAATCATAAGGGAAATATAGATTCAGTTTTCATATATATTGCCAAATAGTTTCTTTTTTTTTGTTTTTAATTTATTTATTCATGAGAGATACAGAGAGAGAGAGAGAGGCAGAGGGAGAAGCAGGCTCCATGCAGGGAGCCCAATGCGGGACTCAATCCCGGGTCTCCAGATCAGGCCCTGGGCTGAAGGCAGCACTAAACCACTGAGCCACCCGGGTTGCCCGCCCAATAGTTTCCAAAGGGATTGTACCAATTTATTTTCCTACTGACAATGTATGAGAGTTCTAGTTGCTCCACATTCTCATCAACATTTGATATTGTCAGCCTTTTACATTTTAGCTATCTGATGGCACTATGCTCTTGTAATCCTCATATCACCCCGGAGAAGTTTATGTGTGTGTGAATACTGTTGGTTAGTGACTGACCTCATCAATATTCTCCTTCCTAGCTACTTCTGGCTTAGGAGGGCACTGTGATATAGTTCTGGCCAATGAGACAGAAGAGAACACCCACTGTGTAAAACTTCTGAGAACACTGGGAACACGTTGGCTTTCTGAGAAGAGACTCAGGTTGCCCATCCTTCATTCCTTTACTTTTCTTTATTTTTCTACCTGGAACATGGACATTATGTCATTCATGGAACAACATATTCCATGAGGCCACAACATGAGGAAAAGGCCAACAGAATCACAGAGACACTGGCCATGATGTCATTAAGCCAGTGAAACAAACCAAGTAGTTCCCTGTGTTGAGATTTCCTGTAAGACAAAGTCCCCTAACCTATTAGTCTGGTTTTCTATTATTGCCACCAAGCTCATTCTTTGGCAGTACTTTAACTATCTTCACTCTGCAAGTGAGGAAAGAGAGGCTCAGACAGTTCAACTGAAACAACAATGCAAGGAGCACTAGGGAATGGAGAAGGTTCTGAGATGCATGGAGTTGACAGGAAATTAGAGGCCTCTGCTTGTGAGGACCCTAGGGGAAGTAGTACCCTTTCTGAAGGCTCAAGAGAGGAAACAAGGCCGTCATAAAGACCTCCCTGAAGATTAATATATCTCTCTGGACAAATTTTACCAAGTATCCTTCCTCTAAATAAAGTCAACCTCAAATCAAGCCACTTTGATTGATCAATCTGCCATCTCTAAGCTGGAGATCTTTCAGGCCCTTCTAGGTCTACTACCTATGATTCTCTATCTCTTCTCTATAACCCATCTAGTATGTATAATTACATTACATGAGTACACCACATCATTATCCTGTTGATGGACCTTCAGGTTGCTTCTAATGTTTCATATTTACAAACAATGATGCCATGAATAGTGTTGTACATGTCTTCTGTGCACACATATGATATTCTCTGAGATATAGATTTGGGAATGGAATTGGTGGGTCAAAGGGCATGCACAGCTTCAACTTTGCAAGTCATTGCTAAGTGGCTCCCCAGAAAGCATATTATGCATATTTGCTTCTCCCCTACTAACAAAGCATGAGAAGTCTTGGTACTCCTCATCGTTGTCAACATTTGATATTGGCAGACTTATTAATGTTGTGATTGAGTTACAACATACATAAAGTTAAGTAAATAAAATGCACCTGTCCTAAGTGTCCAGCTTCATGCATTTTTACTTTTGTTAAACTCATGTAAACTCTTCCTGGACTATTTCCAGGCCACTAGATGGCTCCTTCAGGTCCCTTTTCAGTTAAGACTCAATCCCTCTGCCAAAGTAACAACTATCCTAATTTCTAGAAACATAAATTAGTTCTGCTTGTTCTTGAACTTCATACAATTGGAATTATACAGCATGTACTCTTTTTTTGCTTAGCTTCTTTCACTCAACTTAGTATCTGAGATTCATCCATTTTTTTTTTTTTTTAATTCATCCATGTTAAAAAAAAGAGAGAGAAATTTACTTTGAGGAACTGGCTCCTATGATTACAGAGAGGGAAGTCTCACAATGTGCCACCTCTAAGCTGGAGACCCAGGAAAGCTGGTGGTGGTAATTCAGTCCAAAGGCAGGAGAAGATCAATGTCCCAGCCCAAACAGTCAGGAAGGGAACAAATCCTACCATCCTCCACCTTTTGTTCTATTCAGGCCCTCAATGGATTCTATCATGCCCACCTACATGGGGAAGGATGATCTACTTTACTAAATCCACTGATTCAAATGCTAATCTCATCTGGAAACGCACAGAGACACTCAGAAATAATGTTTAATTTGGACATGCTGTGGCCCAATCAAGCTGACACAAAATTAAGCATCACAAAGGGTGAGGGTAGGCAGCCCAGGTGGCTCAGCGGTTTAGCTCCATCTTCAGTCCAGCGCGTGATCCTGGAGTCCCGGAATCCAGTCCCAGGTTGGGCTCCCTGCATGGGGCCTGCTTCTCCCTCTGCCTGTGTCTCTGCCTCTCTCTCTTTGTGTGTGTCTCTCATGAATAAATAAATAAATAAAATAAAATAAAAAAACTTTGCCTAGAAAGCCATGTATTAAAAAAAAAAAAAAAACAAAGGGTGAGGGTGACAAGGACTCTTTGCCAACTAGTGTCAGGAGGGGGATCTGATGTTGGGCCTGTCCCTTCCTTTTCAACTCCTGTGGTGCCTAGTAGAGGCTCTGCACTCAACAGAAGCTCAAGAAACTTGCTAAAGTGACTAATTTCATGGGGACATCTCCCAATAATAACAATTCAATATCGGGCACCTACATATGGGACACCTTTTTATTTACAACTTCATCTTTCTCTCTTGACAACCCTAGGAGTCTGTACCATTTTTCTCTTTCACGAAGGTGGAAACTGAAACCCACAGAGGCCCAACTTGGTCTGCCTTAGATCCTAGAAAAATGAAGTGCTGTGGGTTGAACAGCAGCCCCTCAAAAGATATACCCCTATCCTAATTCCAAAACCTGTGAACTGCAGGTACCATTCAGTTAAGGATCTCAAGATGTGGGCAGCCCCAGTGGCTTAGTGGGTTAGTGCCGCCTTCAGCCCAGGGCATGATCCTTGGAGGGAGACCTGGGATCGAGTCCCACATTGGGCTCCCTGCATGAAGCCTGTTTCTCCCTCTGCCTGTGTCTCTGCCTCTCTCTCTCTCTGTGTGTGTCTCTCATGAATGAATAAATAAAATCTTAATTTTTTTTTAAAAGGATCTCACAATGTTTATCCAGATGAGATTTTTTTTTTTTTTTAAGATTTTATTTATTCATGAGAGAGAGGCAGAGACACAGGGTCCATGCAGGGAGCCTGACATGGGACTCAATCCCAGGTCTCCAGGATCAGGCCCTGGACCGAAGGTGGCACTAAACCGCTGAGCCACACGGGCTGCCCCTCTAGATGGGTCTTAAATCCTAAATCCGATGATAAACATCCTCCGAAGAGACAAGAAGAGGGAAGAGACAGGGAGAACAGGAGGCCATGGGAAGATGGAGACAGGATGTGTCCATAAACCAGTGAACTCTCAGAGCTACCAGAAGCTGGAAGAGGCAAGAAAGGATTCTCCCCTCGAGCCTTTGGAGGAAGTGTAACCCTGGTGACACTTTGATTTTGGACTCTGGTGCCCATAACTCTGCGAGAAGAATTTCAGTTGCTTTATGCTACTGGTCCACGGTAAGTTGGCACAGCAGCTGTAGGAAAGCAACACATGAGGGTGGTGGAGAAGGCAAAGGAGAATAAGGAGGGTCAGCTGCCCCTGCTGAAGCGCATGGTTCTCCATTGCCTGGCAGCTTTGTGACCCAGTCTCCTCCACTCTGCCTCTAGTTCAACTCACTGCAGCTGCAATGGTCTCCTTTCGTCATCCCTGGAATATGCTGGGCACATTCTCACCTAAGGCCTTGGTGCTTTTTGTTTCCTTTGCCTAAAATATTTGTCTTCCCCTGAAAACTCAGTTTCCTGCTCCTCAGACAAGCCTCCCTGACCTCCTCTCTAGAGTGTCTCCCACCTCCCAAGTCACCCTCATCCCTCTAATTTTTCTTCACGGCCCTCACAATCACCTGATGGGACGTTTGTCCACGATACACGTGTTTACGTATATAATACTCCCTCCAACTAGGACATTAGCTCCTCCAGGACAGGGGCTTTGTTCATTGCTTTATCCCCAGCCTTTAGCATGGTTCCTGGTCCATGGGAGGTATTCAATAGATATTTGAATGACTACTTTCCTTCGACAGCACATAGACTAAATGTGGAACAATACAGAAAAGATCAGCATGGTCCCTGTGGACGGTTGATATGCAAATTCATGAAGTGGTTCCTATTTTTTTAAAATATTTTATTTATTTATTTATTCATGAGAGACACACAGAGAAAGGCAGAGAGATAGACGAGGGAGGAGCAGGCTCCTTGCAGGGAGCTTGTTGTGGGACTCTATCCCCAGACCAGGATCATGCCCTGAGCCAAAGGAAGATGCTCACCCACTAAGCCACCCAGACATCCCAAGTCATACTTCCTACTTTTTAAGATTTTATTTATTTGAGAGTGAGAGAGTGAGATAGTGAGCATGAAGTGCAGGGAGGGGCAGAAGGAGAGGGGGAAGCAGACTCCCTGCTGAGCAAGGAGCCTGACACAGGGCTGGGCTTGATCCCAGGACCCTGGGACAATGACCTGAGCCAAAGGCAGACACTTAACTGACTGAGCCACCCAGGTACCCCAAAGTGTTCCATATTTTTGTGTGTTAACTGGAATTAAAATTAAAATTAAAAGAATAAACTAGATGACTAAAAAAAATATTTGAATGAATGAACAAATTACCTACTAATAGTGATGGGAATGAGAAGGAGGAGGGCCCAGATATGGAGCTATCATCCAAGCTGAAGAGGAGACTGTGTGTGGGAAGCTCTTGGCCCTAACAGGGCCCCTGGCCCTCAGCCCAAGTGTGATTATGAACCTCAGAAAAGCCTTTCTCCACATCCCTCCACCTGGCTTGCCTTGTCTTTCCAGCTGATCACAGTCCCCAAGGGTTCATTTGATTCAAACATCCCTGGGAAGGTTTGAAAGCATCCTTTGTTTCTACATTTTCTCATTTTTTCCAAGCATCAAGTATGGACAGATACACACACCCTCATGCACATATATACACACAATCTGACACATACGCTTGGCCATAACCCACAGTCTCATGGACCCTCATGGCTCAGTCTACCCATATCCAGTACTACTTGTGCACAGCTGTGGACACACACTGACCCTCAGTCATTTGCACTCCCCTGTCTTACATACTCACACACAGTTAGAGTCTTGCATGTGCCCTCACACACGAGCAGGCCTCCACCCAAGGTCTCACCTAGGTAAGTGCTCACACCGACACATAGACTCACTCATCAGTTCCTCTGGGCATGTGTGCCTGGACCCTCATGCACATACAGCTTTGAACATACCTCCAGGTTTCCTCACACACATACAAACAGGCAATGGCCTGCTGTGGTGACTCACACTTGTCATGATGACCTGTCATGATGGCCTATCATGACTTTGCATAATAACCTAACAACAGCGATATTGACTGAACACTGGCCATGTGCCAGGTACCCTGCCCTTTGAGACCTTGTGTCATTCAATTCTCACAACAATCACATGAAATAGGTGCTATTATTAGTCCTATTTTATAGATGAGGAAACAGACTCAGAGCCAAAAGAGTCCAAATGGGATTCTAACCCAAGCATCTGACTCCAGAGTTCCCCTCTCCTTTTCTGGTAGAGTATATTTTTCAAAAATGATTGCATCAACATCTCCTATCCCTCATGCTCTTCTAGAACCTTGTCACTCTCTAATCAAATGGTAGAATCTCTGGCCCCTTCTCTTGAACTTGAGTGGGTCTTTGTGACTACAAATAACAGTACGATGAACATGATGCCAGTATGAATCCAAGGCTAGATCATAAAAGGTGGTACCAAAAAAATGGCCAGGATGTAGAAACATGGGGCAGCCCCAGTGGCGCAGCGGTTTGGCGCCACCTGCGGCCTGGGGTTTGATCCTGGAGACCCGGAATCAAATCCCGCATCAGGCTCCCTGCATGGAGCCTGCTTCTCCCTCTGCCTCTCTCTATCTCTCTGTCTCTCTGAATAAATAAATAAAATCTTAAAAAAAAAAGATGTAGAAACACCTGAGTGTCCACTGATGGATGAATGGATAAAGAAAAAATATGCCACTTTTCCCCACACAATGGAATATTATTCAGCCATAAAAGAGGGAAATCCGGGATCCCTGGGTGGCGCAGCGGTTTGGCGCCTGCCTTTGGCCCAGGGCGCGATCCTGGAGACCCGGGATCGAATCCCACGTCGGGCTCCCGGTGCATGGAGCCTGCTTCTCCCTCTGCCTGTGTCTCTGCCTCTCTCTCTCTCATTCTATGTGACTATCATAAATAAATTAAAAAAAAAAAAAAGAGGGAAATCCTGGGGTGCCTGGGTGGCTCAGTAGGTTAGGTATCCAACTCTTGGTTTTGGCTCAGGTTATGGTCTCAGGATTATGAGATCGAGCCCACCATCAGCCCAAGCCCAGCACGGAGCCTGCTTGGGATTCTCTCTCTCTCCTTCTCCCTCTGCCCTTCCCTCTGCTTGCACACACTCTAAAATAAATAAATCTTAAAAAAAATGGAAATCCTGCCATTTGGGATAAGATTGATGGACTTGAGGGTGTTATAAGTGAAATAAATCAGAGAGATAAAGGCAAACACTGCATGTCTTACTTGTATGTGGAGTCTCAAAAAGCCAAACTCATAGAAACAGAGTAGAATGGTGGTTGCCAGGGGCTGAGAGGTGGGGAAATGGGGAGATGCTGGTCAGGGGACATAAACCTCCAGTTAGAAGACGAATAAATTCTAATGTACAAGGTGGTGACTATAGTTAACAAGACTGTATTGCATACTTGAAAATTGCTAAGAGAGTAGATCTTAAAGGTTCTCATCACCACTATTACCACCACAACAAAAGAATTACTGATAATTATGTGAGGCGAATGATAAGTATACAGTTAATTAATCTTATTGTGTTCATCTTTTCATAATACATATGTTTGTCAAATTACCAAATTGTATACTTTAAAGTTATACAATGTTCTATGTCATTTATATCTCCATAAAGCTAGGGAAAAATTTTTTTTTGTGCGGGGAGGGTTTTACTGTTTATTTATGACAAATGTCCCCCATCTGTGGTCTTCTCCCGTCCGAAGTTCTTTGAAATGATGCCGTCGGCCTTGGCCAGCCAGAGGATGGAGTCATCAGACTCGCCCATCCTGCGAATGGCCCCGCAGATAGCGTAGGTCTTAAACTGTCCGTTGAACCTGCCAGTCACCTTGTCAACCTTGGCCATGTTCATCTGGATGGACGTGTGGTCCTTGGTGCCGATGATGCGGTTGCTGGCGGAGCATTTCCGCGGCATGTACAGGTCCACGAACTTGCCGGCGTCGTTCTGCATGTCGAGGGCGCACCTGCTGCTGCCACCACGAGCTAGAGCGCAGAAAGTTAGGAAAAAAATTTTTATGTTTTTTTTTAAATTTTTATTTATTTATGATAGTCACAGAGAGGGGATCCCTGGGTGGCGCAGGGGTTTGGCGCCTGCCTTTGGCCCAGGGCGCGATCCTGGAGACCCGGGATCGAGTCCCACGTCGGGCTCCCGGTGCATGGAGCCTGCTTCTCCCTCTGCCTGTGTCTCTGCCTCTCTCTCTCTCTCTCTCTCTCTCTCTCTCTCTGACTATCATAAATAAATTAAAAAAATTAAAAAAAAATGATAGTCACAGAGAGAGAGAGAGAGGCAGAGACATAGGCAGAGGGAGAAGCAGGCTCCATGCACCGGGAGCCTGACGTGGGATTCGATCCCGGGTCTCCAGGATCGCTCCCTGGGCCAAAGGCAGGCGCTAATCCGCTGCGCCACCCAGGGATCCCAAATTTTTATGTTTTTATTTTTTAAAGATTTATTTATTTATTTATTTATTTATTTATTTATTTATTTATTTATGATAGACATACAGAGAGAGAGGCAGAGACACAGGAGGAGGGAGAAGCAGGCTCCGTGCCAGGAGCCCAATGCGGGACTCAATCCGGGGACTCCAGGATTGCACCCTGGGCCAAAGGCAGGCGCTAAACTGCTGAGCTACCCAGGGATCCCCAGGAAAAAAACTTTTAAAGAAAAAAAGGATTACACAAATTCTGCCTGGCTCTCTCTTGGGACACTCATCCTTGGAACCCAGCTACCATGCTAGGAGGAAGCCCAGGTTACATGAAGAGGCCATGTGCAGGTGTCCCGCAACCGCCTACTGAGGTCCCAGCTGACAGCCAGCATCACCTGGCAGTCCTGTGCATGAGGAAGCCCTCAAGATGACATCAGTCCAGTCACTATCTAACTGCAACCACACAAGAGACCCAGAGTAAGAACTGCCCAGCTGAGCTCAATCAAACCCCAAACTGAAAGGTAATAATAATAATTATTATTGTTTTATGCCACTAAACATGGGTGATTTGTTACATAGTGATAGCTAACTGGATGCCAGGACAGATTACCAACAGTTAGCCTCAGACCACCATGGGGAAGTGGTGCCAAGCTCTTTGTCCTCCTCTTAGACTGTCCTCTTCTACCGCAGGATCCAGGATCTCAGAGCACAATCCTCATGCCACATGACCACTGGTATATCCAACTCCCTATCTGGGTGTGAGCTGTTCCACCCCCAGGCACTTGTCCACTGCTGACTCTGTGATGCTTAAGGCAAGTGCTCAACACTTTATTTATTTGAGAGATAGTAAAAGAGAGAGAGAGAACACAAGACAGAGGAGAGGCAGAGAGAGAGAGAGAGAGAGAGGGAGAAGCAGACACCTTACTGAGCGGGAATCCCAATGTGGGGCTGGATCCCAGGACCCCAGGATCATAACCTGAGCCAAAAGGCAGCCACTTAACTGGGTCACCCAGGTGCCCCCCTGTTTACTCTTTTTTTTTTTTAATTTTTTATTTATTTATGATAGTCACACAGGGAGAGAGAGAGAGAGAGGCAGAGACATAGGCAGAGGGAGAAGCAGGCTCCATGCACCGGGAGCCCGACGTGGGATTCGATCCCGGGTCTCCAGGATCGTGCCCTGGGCCAAAGGCAGGCGCCAAACCGCTGCGCCACCCAGGGATCCCATCCCCTGTTTACTCTTTAGTCAAATGTGTAACAATTCCAGCCCTGCCCACCTCACAAGGAGGCTGCAAGGATCCATCCCGGAAGCTTGAGTTTAAGGGGTTATTATTATTTTTTAAAATAGATTTTATTAAGTAATCTCCACATCCAACGTGAA